ACCAAAGGGGAAAGGGGGTTGAGGGGCTGATAAATTAGGAGTTTGGGATTAGCAGATACAAACTACCATATATATATAATAGATAAACAAAAAAGGACCTACTGCATAGCATAGGGAACTATATTCAATATCTTGTAATAAACCATAATGGAAAAGAAAATGAAAAAGAATATATATATGTATGTATAACTGAATCACTTTGCTGTACACCAAAAACTAACACAACATTTGTAAGTCAACTATAACTAAAAAACTTTAATTAAAAAAAAAAAAGAATGGGAGGTCATGGGAACTTCTACTTTTTTTTTAAACTCCAAATCTGAAGCATATCTAAAATTGCTATTATCTTTCCTGCAGTTGTGTCCTGCAATTATGTTGGGCTACAGTTATCTACTTTTATTTCTTTGTCAGTCTAATTACTTCAGCTTTCTCTCCTTAAGGACTTTTGGTTCAGTGATGGTACCCTTTCTTTATTTTAGAGTTGCTATGGATTTGGTCTATTTAATTGGGTCTCTACTTAGTTATTTCAAGAAATTTGGGACAGGAAGGCAAGTAGATTACCAGCTTAATCTAATCTCTCAGATTGCTTCTATCTTTTGGTGGCAGTCTGTTATTTATTAGAGCAATTTTCTCTTGACTCATGCTGAGGAGATAATTGATAACTTCTGTTTCCTATGTTGACTCATTTTCATTGGGGCTTGCTTGCCTATGTGCTTTAAAATCAAATACTAAAAGCATGGAACCCATTATCGGTTTAACAATCCGAGATAAGATAAAATACATAAGAAAAAACATGGATAAATGATAAAAGATGGGCAGTTTAAGCACTATAAACATAAGCCTAAGTGGATTAGTTTTCAGTTATATGCAATAAGTTGAAATTATAGCATTAAGAATTAGCACATTTTTAACATCTATCAAGAAAGACTTTTGTGTTAGTAGGGTTTTCTCAACCTCAATACTATTGACATTTTGGCCCAGATAATTCTTTGTTGTGGGGGCCATTCTGTGCATTATAGGATGTTTAGCAGAATCCCTGGCCTCTTCCTATGAAATGCCAATATTACCTCTCCCACCCCCACTAGTTGGAACAAGCAAAAATGTCTCCAGACATTGCCAAATATCCCTTTGGGGAGGGTGGGACAGAACTGCCCCAATTAAGAACCACTGTTTTAAAAGAGACAACCACTTACTCAAAATAGCTTTTCTAATACTGGGTGATAAAAATGTATAGCGTGGGATTGTATGCCCATTATATCCAACTCTAATTTAAAACAGAATGTATGTTGTCACAATCCCATAAAATATTGAAAACACTGACTGATGATATCTGAGTTCAGTGTGATTAAAAGTAGAATATAAAAGTTAGGGGAAAAAGCTCTAACACTAGAAATTAAAGTAAGACAGAAACTCTTGGAAACAACTATTAATCAAAGAAGAAAAGCAAAACCAAAACTCAAAATAACTAGAAAATAACAAAATTGACTCATGAAACATAAATGCTCAGTGTTCAAAATAATGCTCAAAAACAATGCTCAATGGAAAATTCATTATATTCAATGTTTGTTTTGTTACACAAGAAAAACAAACAAAAATCAATGAAATAGGCATTCAACCTAAGAAGTTAGATGTCTATGGAGGAGGTATAAAAAACAAGACAGAGATCAATAAAAGAAAATGAGATATGAATGAATTAAGAAACAGAAAAACGGCAGAACTAATCAACATATTTTCTTTTCCTTCTGGGAGAAAAATTGCTCTAAATGAAATTTAGAAAAAAACAAAAATAACTTGATAAACCACTAATTAATAGGAAAAAACAAAAACATAAACGTACAAAAGAAGAATGGAAGGAGGGAAGTAACCACACGTTTAGGAAAATTCAAGAAATTAGAAGAGTACAGGTGTGTATGAGGGACTTCTGTTTACTGAAATACCCCGACTGCTTAAGATAGAGCCTACCAGAAAACCAGACTACACAAAAAAACCTTGTTGATTAAATGAACAAATATATCTCCATTTGTTAAACTATATAACATCAATAAATCTCTGTAGAAGATAAATTCGCAAAATCGATCTGAGACAAAACAAAATGTACAGGCTTCCTATTGACAGAGATGCAATTCTCAGGTAAATTGTACTAACATTTTAAGAAACAAATAATTTAAATTTAATTTAATTTGTTCCAGAGTGGAGAGTGTGAAAGAAAGTCTCGCTTTCTCTTTTTAATAATGAAATGAGCACAATTTGATAATAGAAATTAATTTAAAACCGTACATAAAGAAAACTACAGAATAGTTTCATACATGAATGTCAATACAAAAATGCTCAATAGTGTGTTATTGAGCAGCAACACAGTTTTAAAAAGATGTTCAATTATTTCTACCAGCTCCTGGTAAATCTGCTCCTCCCTGACCTCCATGTGGTCCTCAGCAGGACTTATAGTGAGGGCTACTCAGCTCCAAGTCCTTTGGCCTTTTTATCTCTTGACAACCCCTAAGACAGGATTAAAGGGGCCCAAATGCTCCTATGGATGCCACAGCCTTTGTAAGATTTAAAGGAGGCCCTACAAAGGTCCACGTGCCTTCGCCAAGACCACTGCTATTCCCTCCCACCATACTCGGCATCTCAGCTCTCAAAGTAGCTAAATACCAGGGCCCAGAAGGAGATTACGACTAAAAAGGATTAGTTTTCCATCCCCACCTCCTGCCCCAGCCAAGAAAAGTGAGAACTTGGGGATTTAGTATCTGAAATTAGAAACATGGTGGCTCCAGTTCAGATTCAAGAAGGGTGCAAATTCCAGGACCAGGGCTCCACAAGATGGCATGATTTAGTCCCTCATCTGCAATGATCAGAAATTGAAGTCACCAGGGAAAGCCTGAAATTTTAAGGAAGTTCCAGAGAAATACCAAACCTAGGAAATATAATTTAGCTCAAGTTTTACAATTCCCATGACAGTAGTCATAAAGTATGTATATATCAGTGCTGAAGCCTGCAGGTATGGGATTACTGCCTATGTGCCTCTCATGGCCTCTACCAGTAACCTCTGTGTCACTATCTGTGGAATGCAGTGACCAAGGTCCAAGGACAACAATCAGCAGTAGGCAAACAAAAAACACTCTGCAGGGGGCAGAAAGACCTTGCTGCTCCGGCCCACTTGTTTTTATGGATCAGTGGGGCGTGCTCACCTTTTCCAGGCAGGTTATGTAACTATTGACATATCTTACTCCATACTCTATTAAAGGTCTCCGATTAGGAGCAAGATTGATTTGTGTTAACAATTATCTCTGAGGTTTCAAAAGTCCCCAAGAAGGTAAAAACTATTGATCATCAATACCTGAGCTCGTTAAAGTGTTGACAAAATATGGGCATTTTTACTGCTTATGTCAGTATTAGAGACTGGAAATCTTGACTGAGGGATGGAGTATTTGTTTGCTAGGGCTCCTATAACAAAGTGCCACACACTGGGTGACTTAAACAACAGAAATTTATCATCTCATAGTTCTGAAGTCCAGAAGTCCGAAATCAAAGTGTCAGCAGGGTTGATTCTCTCTGAGGGCTGTAAGGGAGAATCTGGCCCGTGCCTCTGCCCGAGGTTTTGGTGGTTTGCTGGATGTCCTTGGGTTCTTATACTTGTAAAAGCATCACGCTAATCGCTACCTCTGTCTGCACATGGTGTTCTCCCTGTGTGTTGTCTGTGTTCACATTTCCCCTTTTTATGAGGATACCAGTCATATTAGATTAAGGTCCACCCCCACCCCAGTGTGAATTCATCTTACCTAATCACATATGCCATGACTCTATTTCCAAATAAGGTCATATTCTGAGGTACTGGGGGCTAGGACTTCAACATAGGAATTATGGGAGGATACAATTTATCCCAAAATAGATGGGAAGCTTGAGAGGGGTGACCATGAAAGAAGAAGTAACATGCAGAAGCTCATGCAGACCATCACTCATTCTGAACTTTTGTTTTCTGTCTCCAACTCTTTTTCCTCCATGTCTGTTATGACTAAAAGAGAATTCCTCTCCTTCAGTCTTTAGAAATATGTATCGGGGGGAGGGTATAGCTCAAGTGATAGAGCTTATGCTTAGCCTGCACAAGGTCCTGGGTTGAATCTCCAGTACCTCCTCTAAAAATAAGTAAATAAGCCTAATTACCCCACCAAAAAAAAAAAAACTTAAAAAAATTAAAAATTAAAAAAGAAATATATATATATTTTTTTCTAACAAATAATGGGACTCTTTCCCTGTCTTTAAAAAAATGACTTGATAGGTATAGCCCCTCCTCCACACCAGCTCCACATAAGCCTCCCTGAAATATTTTGAAGGGTTTTGACAACAGGGATCGAGACTTGAATTTGTTCTTTCATTATGGTACTCCCTTTTCTTCTCTATCTTCCTAGTGTTGAATGTATGGTAGGAATTCAATCAGAGGTCTTTAAATGAATGTAGATGATTTTCCAACCCCTCAAGCGACAAATCGGAGATTCATGTGGTAGCATAAATCATCATATTTTACTATTCCTTGTGAACAAGGTATTTTCCAAAAGACAGCATTGTAAGTATTGATATTAGAATTAGTGGAAATAATGAGTAGAGATCAGTTTTATTAAAGTGATAATTTCTTGGAAATATTTGTTTTCAGGTCATTGAAAATTATAAGCAATTTGTTTTGGAGAAATATAAATTTGTCTTGAAGTTTTGAGGAGCTGTCTTACCCGAGAGTGACTTAATGTAGATGAATAAAATATATTGCTCTAGTTGAACTGAAAATAGGCACATCTCTTCTATGAAATTCTAATAATCTTCTTATTAACTTTTAAAAAAATTTGCATACAGTACAATCTTCAAAGTTCTTTTGAACTTGCTACCTTCTGAAAATTCAGTTATCTCAATAATTTTCAAAGTCTTAAGTATAATGATTTTATAAAGCCTCTTCTTTCAATGTGTTTCCTCAAGCCTCCCTTTTAAATGTTTTCTTTTAAAATAGTTATCTATGGACTATTTTACAGTGCAGGATTTTATTTGTGTATGCTGGTTGTCTCAAGCCATTCTGCACAATGGTGGTCATACAATGAGTGGAGGTAAGAGTGACAGGCAGTATTGGCATGGACCACTAGTTATGGTGATGCTCAGGCCCTAAAACATGCAAGAGAGAACCAGCAATTATTTATCTCTCAAGCTGGGTAAAAGCTACACAAACACATACTGTATGGAAACAACAACCAAATCAGTACAGCTTAGTTGACTGCTGTGGTGTTTAATTAGCTCTATTTTAAGACTTTTCTACACTTAGCCCTCTTCCCTACTCAAGGTGCAGCAAATTACTTTGATGTTTATAATGCATGTATGGATCTTATTTTGGCTGTGTCTGTATTAACTGTATTACAGTCAGTGGTCTAGAGTATCAAGGCCACTGCCAGCACACTGGCATGTTCCAGCTCTCCATCCTCTTTCTTGCCCTGTTAACTGCTAGAGAACTCAGATTACCCATGGCAGCACCCAGATTCATGACTTACTTATCTTCATATGTTGCCTCTGAAGTCTTTTCTAAAGCCTGATGTTTCTGTTTGAAGCTCAGAAGACAATGATTTAATAAAATATTAGCAGATAATTTCCAATGGTTATTTCAACAGATTTAAATCCCCCACCACCACATAGGTAAGTCAAAGTCACAGTACACAAAAGTTAAGCATGTCTCCATCACCACTTCATCTGAGGATTTCATTTCTGTAGCTGGGGGAACTACCCAGCTCAAAGTCCTGGCACACATGGGAGGGAAAATGTCTGTCCCAGAGTTCTCTGAAGTCAGTATTCCTCATGAAATGGGTATTCAGGATGGTCAGACCACCTGCCAAAACAATTCCCCCAAAGGGAAAAAGTTCACTTCAAACATTGCACAGCTGTATGTGTTACTAGCATCCTTTGATAATTTCACTGACCATTCCCTCTTTCTCTTTCTTACTCACTCCACCTCTGTTTTTCACCGACTCTCTTCCTCTGTTTTCTCTCAAGCCAGCCCCTTTTACTGAAGCTCTGGACAGCACCGTGTGTGTGTGTGTGTGTGTGTGTGTGTGTGTGTGTGTGTAGGGAAAGGCTGGTTGCCTCCACATTAACATTTTGCTTAGAACAAAAGCAAAAGAGGTGAGCAGTACCTGCCTGTTTTACACGCCTATTCACAATTCCTTCCCTCCTTCTCTCTTGATATAAGCTGCCTCCCATGGTTACTTCTGTTGATAGCTGAATTTTCAACACTTTGAAGGCATGTAAGGAATTTTGTTTGTGGGAAGTCAGACAACAGGTGAAGCCAGAAGCTCCAAATCTTATAGGCAAACATTTGTCTTAAAACTCAAGGTTCTTCCCAACCTGGTGTTCTTTCTACTGCACTCTCATGCCTCTCTCCCAGGAACTGTTCTTGTTGACAAATGTGCACTAATCTGTGCCCACTTTGATTTTTAAGAAAGAAATAAAAACGTTGTTTGAATATCTGTGCCGCTGTTGTATTAACATGCAAACACTATGATTTAATTCTTCTCAAAGTCTTTAGCCTGCAATGCCTTAACCTAACCAATGGGAATGTCATAAATGCCAGAACTCTTTTAAGGAAAAAGGTTTGTAGAAAGTTCCTAATTCAGAACATGCTGCCCACTGGCCTTTAGCCTATGCCTTCTGTGGACACAGTCCCAGTTCATAAGAAGGCTGTTGGCTGACATTTGACAATCCAACACCACTGGGCAGTCCTTGAGTAATGATCCCCCAGAACTCACATGAGCAATTCCACGAAGCGGACATTTGTATTCAAGGCTTCGATGTCCTTCATTTCTTCTTCAGTGAGAGAAAAATCAAAGATCTGAAAAAAAAGAAATAAAAAGCAGACATTTACAATAGTAGAACATGGATCATACTTGGGAACAGGAGTGGGGCCAGCAGTGGGACCCCTTCAAAGGTTTATGAACATTTCTGCAAATGTCTAAGAGGAGTTGGGCTAGTGTTGGGGGGCCACCCCACTCATGTGGGGCTGGAATTCTTTCTGCCCTTTGTCTTTGAGACAATCCAGCATGGACATCTTGCAAGAAATTTCAAATGCTCTAAAACAATACGTGTTCAGAACATCTCCTGAAATTCTAAAAGTGAAGAATTCTTATTATTTCTGTATAAGATGCTGAACTTTTGATTCTGGACTATGGCCTTTGTAAACTTTAAAAAAAAATATTGCTTAGTCTCTGAATTTGCTTATGTATTTTTTAAGCTTTTAATTTTCTTTGCTTTATCCTCTTAATCCTTTCTCTCATCATTTTTAATATTTCTTTTTCTGCCTTTTAATTCTAAATACATTTTCATTGTTTTGTTTTTTCTTAGCTTGTACAGCTTATACTCTGGTTTTATAATTGTCCTTTATTAGCATTTTAGTAGTTTATTTTAGCTTATTTATATTTTTAACTCTTGGTTTATGTGTTTATAATTTATTTTCTCTTACTTTATTATTTTATATTTCTATCCCTTAACTTTCATTTTAGTATTTACATTTATAAATTTTAATTATATAAGTAATACATAAATACATGCTCTTTGTAAAGAAATGAAACACTACAGAAGTACATGGACACATATGGAGTGAAAAATGAAAGTTCTTCCTGATACTTACTACCCTAGTCCTATTCCTCTTCCCATATATTCCTTCCAAACATTCAATACACTAAGAGCAAAATGCAAAAATTGTGTCATATTTTTATATTCTGCAACTTTATTTCACTTATGTACTATCTTATGGTGATCTTTTCTGTCAAAATATATAGACTGACTTTATCCATTTAACCACTGCATCCAGAGTACAGTTGTAACACAGTTTACTTAGTCATTCCCCTGAGGATTGTTTGTAGCTGCTCTTTTCAGGGAATTCTTTCCTTTGATTATTTATTACCTAAGTATTGGAGTTTATGAGATTGTATAAGGAAATTAAAGTGTGCATAACATAAAAACAGTGATGAATGAACCAATCACTTATAAAATAAATCCTTACAAATTTCTTTTTTGCTCAACACCTTCCCTGACCTAGTGGTGCTATTTGTTACATGACCTCACCTCCTTCAGCACAGGAATAAAGGTGTAGCCCAAGGGCAATCAAGGTATCTTGTTCACTGGACAGTGATTATTATGGGAGTAGCCAATGACCCACAAAGGGACAAGCAGGTATTGATAGAGACCCTGACAGAAGCCTTTATCTGTGATCATCTTTACTCAATATGAGGACTAGATTAACCTGGACTGTTTGTACCACCATATGGAAAGAGGGGGTGGGGAGAACTCAATCCTTTCATAAATCATTTGAATACCTGTGTCCAGTCATGACTGATCTATCCATGGACTTCCCAGTTATGTAAGCCAAAAAATTGTGTCTCTTTTTCTTTGGTAAATTTGAGTCTCAGTCTTTCATGTGGTAGCAAAAAGCTCTGAAGATAAATTGTCTAATATCATGGATGTCTTCCCATGTCAGTACTTGTATTTTCACTTTATTATTTAAAAATGGGTATAAAAGTACACATACTGTATAAATTCATTTATATTAAATTCTAGCAAATGCAAACTAAACTACAGGGATAGAAAGCAAATCAGTGCTGGCTTGTGGCTGTGGACCAGGAGGGATAGATTACAAAGGGGAATGAGGAAACTCTTGGAGGTGATGAATATGTTCTTTATCTTGATTATGGTGATGGTTTCATGGGGGTGTACATATGTCAAAAATTACCCAGCTTGACACTTTAAATATTGTAAGTTCACTGCATTTCAATTATATCTCAATAAATTTCATTTAAAAAAGAAAAATTAAAATGGCTATATAATATTTCACTGCACAAATTAACATAATTTGTTTTATAAGATCCTATTGAAAATTGTTCCCAGTTTTTTTTAACTGATAAAGTATGCTGTAATAAACACCTATGTATGTGTGCACGAGCATGCAAATACATCTATAGGAAAAGATTGTTGGGTCGATGGATATGTATATTTGAATTTTGGTAGATATAGAAAAATGACATCCTTCTCCTTCAAATCTTACACCAATTAATATTTCTAATATTTTATGAAAGTGCTTGTTTTCCCACATACTGTCAACATTCTGATTCTTTTCCTATCTGAAGGGATAAATATTATCTCATTTTTATCTTTATGAGTAAGATTAAAAAAATCTTACTTTTGAAATTTAAATTATTAACTGATGGATAACTGATTAACTTTACATGCTACTTTTGTATGGCTGCACTTACCTAGCAGTGTAGTCTTTGGAAGTATCACAGTAAACTAATCAGTCCATTGTCTGGGGGCCTCTTTCCTCTCACCCATAGGTCATAACGCTGACTGCAGATTACTTATAGAGGGAATAAAGGGGGTTCATGAAGTCTAAATGATCCTCTTCAATAATTTCCCAATTTGTACCCGACTTTTTCCAGAGCCATTAAGAAGGTGGAAAGTTGACTATGATAAATTTCAAATTTTATACCTTCTATTCCTGCTGTGCAGGCAGAGAAGTGCGTAGGTAGGGTCCAGAGTCAATAGGTAAGGAAACAGAAGAAATAAGGGAGCTAGATAACATACAAGGAGCAAAGCAATCCCCAAATTACTAGGAATTGTCTCAAATTCAGCTAAAATTAAATCTAGATATGGGCAGAGTTGGTTGGGGAGCTGGTCTATAAAATAACATATGAAAGTATTGCAAATTTCTTATTAATCTGGACAGAAAATTCCCTAAAAAAAAAAACTACTTTTTACATTTCTAGAAGTGGTTCTCTTACTTGAAAGTTTTCTTTGATCCTTTCAGGGTTAAAGCTTTTAGGAATGACAACCACTCCTCGCTGGATGTTGAAGCGCAAAACAACTTGAGCTGCTGTCTTACTGTACTTTTTCCCCAGTGAGTTTAGAAGTGGATCCTTTAACAAAGGTGGGGAAGATACATTCACCCTTTAAAAAAAAAAAGAGAGTATGCATCATACTTAGCTCGAGTAATGAGAACCAGTGGTTAATCTATCATCACCCTCTGCCACCCCTCTCCTCACCCCATTCACGTTTTAACCTATCCAGGACACTTTGAGGTCACCTGTAACCAACTTCTCTGAGTGCAGAGTACTCAATGACGATTTGCTCTTACTATAGGAAGATTAAGAGAGGCAAATTTATAGAGCTGCCTCTTCCAGAGGGTAAGTAATATTTCTTTGACAGGTTTTATAGAAAGAATGGGGTTGGAAGTAGGCATACAGGGAAAGGCAAGAAGGCTGAAATGGAAGAAACAGAGGTACAACTCTTGGGATCATCTTAGAGTAGAAAATTTTCTACTTAAGTTTGTGGAATACATTACAATAGAAGTGTTGTCATTGAATACAGAGATTTTAAAAATTCAAAAACTTCAGAATATGGCCATAGAGGCTCTTTGTCAAATAATAATCAAACTAAGATTTGTTGAGCATTTTCTGTGTTTCAGGTACCATTAGGCATTTCACAGGTAAAGTATAACCAATTGTTACAAAATCTCAGTGAGGAAGGTTTTATTAGCTCTATTTTTGTCTGTGTGGAGAATGACTTGAAGAGACTTACGGTCACACAGCCGAACAGAGTCATTCCAATCAAGCAATTTACATTTACATTCACACTCTACACCAAAGGAAGTACTGGAGGAGACATACAGCATTACCTACCAGGTCGGATTCCTAGAGGTCCCCAAAGGGCTGTATGCAATAATGACAATATCATGTTGTTGGCAAAATTTCAAGAGCTTTGGCTGGGTGAAATATGGATGGCACTCAACCTATGTGTTGCATTGGAGAGAGAGCAGAACACAAAATTAAGGCTTTGTAGATGAATGCAATTTCACATAATTTTTTAAAAGTTCCTCAATAAAATCCATTGCAAAGTATTACGGATAGCTAGGCAAATCTTAAATATTTTTTTCTGATAAAGAAGGTTACATTGTTTATATATGGGTGATTATTAATTAAAACAAGATTAGTGAGGTCACCATCTGTGGGTTAATTCTAAAATAACTGGGGAACGAATTCAATTTTTACAGCTATCATAGTGTAAAACTTGAATTGAACAGACTCAGTTATTTATAGTAAATATTCTAGCAAATACTATTTTCCATAATAAACATACATCTCAAGGTTCAGATTACAGTCTTGGTAAGTGAAAGTGACAGGTTGCAGAAGCTCTGTGTCCCTAGCTATCAAACACCTAAGAATATTTTCACAAGAGATAGAGTGTGTACAGAACTAAATATAAAGATGTATTTTGTCTTCTTGGTGGAGAGTTCTTTATACCACCAAATGTAGGCCTACTTTTCTTTTCTATGTCTTATTGACAAGATTCCTGCACTAAAAATACTTGTGTCAACAAAAGTTCTCAAAGTTTCTTAAACATTATGGTAGTTTTTGACCTACATGTTTTTTTTTCTTTTTAATTAAAATCAACCAAGGCTTAATTAAAATATTTTAATTGTATAATTACTATTTTCACTATCTGGAATACTTAATATATAACAAGTCACATTTCTAGAAAGCACAAGAAAATGCTATTGATGAAGTGAAAATGTAAAGTGGGGCCCTTAGACGTGGGTCTTTCTAATTTGATAACCATTTTTTCCATGTCAGTTTTTCCTGTTTCTTTTCTTTCCCCTGCCCCCTCATAATCTTGCTCCCTCCTTTTCCCTAAGACACTTTAATTACTTCCCGTACTTGGGAACACTTCTTAATTCTAAAAAGCGACACATAGACTAAAATAGGTTAGGAATCATAATGTCCATGGTATAGTAGTCCCTCAGTATCCACGGAGGATTGGTTCCAGGAACCTCCCCTTCTCCCCCCATCTCCTGCAAATACTGAGGCCTGCAAGTGCTCAAGTCCATTCTATAAAATGTACAGTGGGCCCCCCGTGTTTGCACGTTCTGCATCCATGGATATAGAGGGCTGACTGTATTTCTTCCCCTTTCTACCCTTTCCCACTCCCAGCATTACTCTGCCTCTTCAGTCTCTTTTCCATTTTCCATCTTATTTATTATTGGTAGACTAACCTTTCCAAACACATTTTTAATCATGTCACTCCATTACTTAAAGACTAAATATGAATTTCTTAATTTCATGCCTACCTGCTTGTTCCAAACACATTTAATTTTCCCTACAGGGACTCCTTTTTTTTGTAAACAAAGTTTATTCTAGGAAGAGCAACTTGATAGATAAAACCATTTTAGAATTTACATATGTGTACTGTTCATTGTTTCTAAGAACAGTTTAGAGCTTTAGCTTTTTAAATTTACATAGTTATCAAAGGAATAAAGCCAACCACAAAATAAGAATCACCAGAATGCAGTAATGCAATCATAAAGGACAAACGTGCTTACACATTTCAAGAAATCAGTCATCTAAGCTATAAATAATAAGTAGTTCATTTGTGTCTTTTTTTAAGATTCAACATATAAGCGATATCATATTGCATTTTTCTTTTTCTTTCTGGCTTACTTCACTTAGAATGACGATCTCCAGGTCCATCCATGTTGATGCAAATGGCATTATTTTATTCTTTTTTATGGCTGAGGAGTATTCCATTGTATAAATATATCACAACTTCTTTATCCAGTCATCTGTTGATGGACGTTTGAGTTGTTTCCATGTCTTGGCTATTATAAATAGTGCTGCTATGAACACTGGGGTGCATGTGTCTTTCTGAATTATATTTTCCTCTGGGAATATGCCCAGGAGTGAGATTGATGGATCATATGGTAAGTCTATTTTTAGTTTTTTGAGAACCTCCATACTGTTCTCGATAGTGGCTGTAGCAATTTACACTTCCACCAACAGTGTAGAAGGGTTCCTTTTTCTCCACACCCTCTCCAGCATTTATCCTTTGTAGACTTTTTAATGATGGCCATTCTGGCTGGTGTGAGGTGATATCTCATTGTAGCTTTAATTTGCATTTCTCTAACAATTAGTGATGTTGAGCATCTTTTCATGTGCTTGTTGGCCATCTGTCTGTCTTCTTTGAAAAGATATCTACTTAGGTCTTCTGCCCATTTTTTGATTGAGTTTCTTTTTTTTTGATATTAAGGTGTATGAGCTGTTTGTATATTTTGGAAATTAGTCCCTTGTCAGTCACATCATTTGCAAATATTTTCAGGGACTCCTTTCTAATCAGGTTGGAGTGCTGTTACCTGTCTCTGGCCTATTAAATATGTATATATACATGTGTATATATCTGTATGTATGTATATACATGTGTATATGTGTATTTGTATATGTAGTGAACATTTTTATAATCTACTTTTTGAAAAAAAGATTTTATATGGTTTATAGGAAAAGGTATACATAATAAGGCTAATACAATTTAAAAACAGAACAAACAGGCATGTGAATATCCATTCTGTGACTGAACAAATTTGGGAGTTTAAAGAAAGTTGCATTGGGCAACATATTAGAAACATGTATTCAATAAAAACTTTTGAATTAACATAAACTCAAATATATAGTATAATAAATACAATAGAAATCTTTGCATAAACAGTTTTTAGATTTAAAAAAAGACTAGGGCATATCTCTAAAGGAGCATTCAGTGAAGGAAATTTCGATGGGGAGGGGAAGGAAGTGGAGGTGGGGGTGAGAGTGAATAAGCTAATATGATCCAAGTGCCTATGACCTCAGAGAACCACATTCCTTGTCTTCAGAGAATTTATCTCAGCTTCTAACTACAAATAACTTTCATGATTTTTGATTAATGTCTGATCCAGGAGAGCAAGGACTGCATTTATCTTTGGTCATTTTTGCTTGCCTAGAACCTAGCAAAGTGCCTGGCATAAGGCAAGGCTTGATGACTGTTGAATGAGTGAAAACAATAATTATACAGAGAGGACAGAGCCAGAATCTTAGGAAATCACTTTTGATGCTGCAGACTATTGCAGGCTGGGCTTCATAAGGGCTGCAGCCAGTGGGGACATTTCAGGTTGGGACCAAATGCAAGTTTAAGGTAGAGGAGTGGTGATGGTTTCTGATGTTACAGGGCCTTGATGCCATCCTTATTTCTAAGGAAAAGTGTATCTAAGCACACTTGCCTTTCTTCTTTGCTAGGGACTGGGTAGAGCCTTTTGTAAATGGGCCAGTGGAGCTGTGCTCTTTACTTTTTTTGTTTGCTATGTAAAACTGATGTAACTTGTCAGTGTCTTGGTGTGTCTGGGACTTTCACACCACTTTTTGGTAATGCTGTAGTTTTAGATATCAGAATCTCACAGGGTGAAGTTCAGAAGCTGGACAGAACCCATAAAGGAAAATAACAAAAGTCCTTTCATAAATTAACCCCAACCCCTTCTGTCTTTCCATGAAAAACTGTTAAATTTTAATTTCACTAATGAAATCCCTCAAAAAATATTTACTGATTCTTGTGTCAGGATACCTGTGACTTAGGCATAGTGAAGAAGATCAGGAAAAACTGAAGAATTTGGGAATTTCCCTTATTCCTTCTCTTCTTCCTTTCCCTCCCTCCCTCCTTTCTCCCCTTCCGTCCTTAATTCATAGAGTTAGGTGTTGGAACTTGGCGTGAGATTAAATGGCTTGAGGAGATCCACAGTGTTCTTGGAATTAGGCTGGGAGAGCACTAGGGGAAACTAGGAAGGCTTTCAGACAAAGCCAGGAGTGGAGCCTGGAGGCATGTTTCTTCAGATGAACATCGTAGAGGGCAGTTAGGAATCCTGGGATGCTCAGGCTCTGAGAATGAGTATAGAGTGAGGTTATATTGTATGTGAATTTGTTCATGAAGCCAGTGAAAAATACAATTTGTAAATCTTATGTTAGATTTAGTCTAATGGGAAAATTAGTTTTTAAATATGTGCATTTTGAGTTATGCAAGGACTTCATTTATGTATCCCTTGCACATAAAATATGTCCACTCTGTATAATGCACACAATGTGCTCATCATATTCCTGGGTTAAAAGCTGCTCATTTTTTATCTCTGGAGTAGGTACACATGTACCTACGGCACACAGTAGTGGTTGGCTGCCAGGAGACCCACATTTTGATCTGTGCCATGGCTAGAGTTTTGATGTATTCTGCTTTCAGACACCACAGAACACGTGAATAGGCTCAGGCTATGATCCTCCAACACGCCTTGTTTCTCTTTCAGGGTATGTTTATGAAGCTGATCGATATTCTTGTGTCAACAGATCAGAGTATTTACTCCTCGGCATGAGGGAACACATGGTCATATTTTTACTCTGTTTTTCATTCTCAGGTCAAAAACTCCATCTCAACTGGATTAAAACAAACTGTAGTGTATATATATACAATGGAATACTACTCAGCCACAAAAAGAATAAAATAATACCATTTGCAGCAACATGGACGGACCTGAAGATTGTCATACTAAGTGAAGTCAAGTCAGAAAGAGAAAGAAAAATACCGTAAGATATCACTTATACATGGAATCTAAAAAACTGAGACAAATGAACTTATTTATAAAACAGAGAGAGACTCATAGACATAGAAAACAAACTTATGGTTACCAGGGGGGAAT